AGGTACGTTCACTGTCTGTGGAGCACAGGGCCAAGTGAGGGCTCACACTCGCAGGCCTCTTGTGAAGACAAGAGGCTAGATTTAGGAGCAAGCTCTGTGATGCACCATGAGAGAAACAGGTCCAGGAACAGTGTCCTTTTACCCCCTGTGACAATGTTTTATCATAGGCTTTCTACAGTCTCTTAGGGCACTCTGCAAGAGCCTTCTGGCATCTCAAAGCACAGAAAGGATTTGCTTCTGGAGAACGCACTACTTTGAGGCATGAGCTGAAGCACTGCTGCAGCCAGTAAACCCAGCTAAAGGCAGTGAGGTTTGGGCTGCTGTGGCTGGGATGAACCTGGTTATGGAAGAACAACTGGAAGCTCTCAGCTTTAGATGCAGACCTGTGCCTGCCTCCAAACATGGTCCACTAGGAAAAGACCTGTGCCTGGGATACATGAAGCCACCACTAAGATCTCTGCTGTTCCAACAGCAGACACATGGTGTTTGCTCTGACCCGTCCTAGAAGCTAAATGGAGAAGAGCCGGCCAAGTCATCAGCTTTTTCCACTGAGTGGTTCTTGCAACCAAAGCCATATCTTTATCACTTGCTCCAGCAAAAAGAAGGTGATGGCAACACATTCAGCCTCATCCCAGTGCCCAGTCAATCCCAAATTGACCTGAGGCTCCTACCTCATTATTATACCCACACTATTTTATATATATATAGATAGATATAACATTATTATATCAGCGATGATATAATGGTTTTAAATGCAGTAGGGCAGCAGAAAGAACAAGCGGCACCTTTCCTGACAAACTCATAGAACAACGCTAAAAAGCAGCATTAACAGTTTCCCCGAATACTTACTATTAACAATAGCCTGCTATGGAAATCCTCTGCTCCCGTTGGGTGTTGAGTTATTAACTGGGGAGGAAAGACATGAAGGTCAGGCTTGGGTGGGGGGCGTTCACCCCATGATCTGGCTACAAACAGCATGGCACCTGCACTCCCTGTCCACGCCGTCCCGCAGCAACAGCCCCACGTCAGCAGGCGGCTGCTCTCCCCCAAAGCAAACAAAGGTGGATCTGAATAAACTGCCTCCCCCAAAAGGCCACTTTATGGTGCCCTTTGAGCACCGGTTTCCCTATTTAATGTTTACGCTTGCAGATCCCTATATACACACGCAGTGTCTATTATAGCCTCCATCACACTCAGAGTAAATGATTAACATTGCAGATTCCACCTTGCCACTCACCTTAGCCCTTCTGTTCTTGCACGGAGGGGGTCATTTCTCCATTACTATTTTCCTACCCCTGCTCCGTAAGGCCATATCACTTAAAGGAGCTTAAGCACAGCTCTGCAGTCAGATGTTACAGCAGGCTCCTGTGGCTAAATGTCTGTTGTTTCCATTCATTTCATGAGTCGGAGTCATTCATTTTTATTACAAGCAGAGAGTGAACAGATGGGAAGAATGATACCGACACCTGAAATAACAGCAACATTAAGGTCCCGCTCTGCTTCCCACCTGCCTCTGCTGCCTCCCGTTCGATATCTCGGGCTGTCCCACAGAGGAGGGCTAGCCCTCTCCCCTTGCCCCATAGCAGGGCAAAATATAAGCACAAGTGAGAAACCAGAACAAGGGCCAGAAATTTCCACCAGTATTTTCTTTTTAAGTCACTTTGCTTGATTTGGAAGGGAAAAAAATAGAACGTACTCTTGCTTTTTCTATTCATCCTTTCCCACAAGAGCACTTCTGTGTTTCACTCATCACTGAGATGAGCGCTCCCCAAGCGTAGGCATGAAGCAACTAGTTTTTCATCCTAGTCAAGGCAGACTACTACTTTAATTAGAAATTTGCTACTTTCTCCTGTTCTTTCTTCTGGATCATCAGGAACTGTAAACAGCATCCTCATAACAAGGTTAGAGATTTATTTTGGAGAAAGATTCAGCACTGTTACCTTGTACCAGCTGAGAAATTGCCCCTTCAGGCACTTCAGACAATTTTTCAAACACCACAACAGTTAAGGTCTGCTCCTGGCCACGTTTAATGATGTTATGGAAATGTGGGTTATAACAGCTTTCTTTAGATTCCAATACTAATGCATTTGCTACTGACATAAAAGAAGGCTTGCAAGAACATAAAGACAACTGTTAAGTACTAACAGTCCCACTGATATCAGAGCACTGTGGATAAACTTGATTTTTGTCAGGTTTGCGCATACAGATAGGCCACCACTTTCAACATACACTGTATCTGTGGCATGTTAACTGCAGTGGGGTCACTCTTGTGTGGAAGAGTTACTAAAATCTGAGTTCCTGTGTTTTCAAAGACAGTAGGATACACTACCTTTAGCAAGAGCCTTTTTGTATGTACTATTTCTAGCAAGCCTCCCCCTTGAGGAGGAGCTTCCTTGAAATAAAAGCCCTTTGCAAAAGGTGTTAGCACTCCTCTTTAAGTAGCTTTTGGGCAATTCAATGCAAATTTGTGCTGAACAAGAGAGGTTCCTGGAGACACCACCTCCTTCCAACCACTGGCCACAAAGCCTCCTCCAAGAAAGCCATCTGATGTGATGAAAGGAACAATGCTGTTTGCTTTCTTCTCCTACGCATACAATAGAGATTGAATATTCAGCTGCTGCTGAAGTAAATAACTTGGGACGCTTAACTATAGCAGCCCATTGACTTGGAAAGCAACACAGGTAGTTTTCCTGACTAGTAAGCAACCAATTGACTAATAAAAGCATCAGAAAGGAGCAGATCACCAGGACCTGGGAAACAGAGACCCAGCAAGGTGTGGGACAGCCTTTGGGCCTGGATTTGCAGAAAGCAAAGAGCAGGTTACAGCTAACATACAGGCAGCACTGGGGTTTATAAACACTGCTCTCACTGGAGCCAAGGAGCATGTGGTGACACCTCAGGTTGGTCAGAAGAAGGAAGGATGCTCTGCCCAGAAATCCCAGCAGGGCTGGCAGCCTGATGAACCCATCCATCCCACACACACCTCTGCCTTGGTGAAAGGTAGGAGAGCAGTTAGGCTCTACTAAACAGTTTCAGAGAGAAAGGCTTACAGTACAGAAGCAGTTAAAATAAGCCAGGAGGCAGAATGCCCTATTAAGCATGAATGCCTGTGATTCCCCACCATTCCCCACTGGTTGCAGGGGCACTGGCTCAGACCCAAGTGCAGACAAAAATCCATGGCTGGAAGCACAAGCCCATAAGGAAGTTTCTGCAGCTCCAGAGCTGGCTCCATCAGCAGAGCACTAAGGCTGAGTCCACTGACCCACCTCAGCAGCCCCCTACCCACTGCCTCCCCATAGCAGCCAGCCACCCCCACCACCTGCTCCTGCACCCCAAGGCAAGGACAGCCCTGACCCAGGATCACTTCCCAGGCCCAGCCACCCTGGCATGAGCCACAAGCCATTTTTTAAGCTTGCTTTTCAGAACCATAACAAGAGCTTAACAGCACACATAAAGAAAACAATTCATTTGTGATAAAAAACAATTTGTGTGTCTCAAACCACTGAGAACAGCAAGGAACAAGTAATGTTCATTCACCTGTCCAGGGAAGATCCTAGCTTTGGCATTAGCAGGAAAGAAGAGAGTACAGAAAGTACTCAGCCTGCATTGAAACTCCAGGTTAGCAATGAGCAGGAAGAAGATAACAAGAAGTAACAGTGAATTTGCCTCTCTGGGCCATAAAGCACCTCCAGAGCCATCCAAAAACAGCTACAGGAACCTGAATCCACTTCAGTTCATACAGCACTAACATACCTGACTCATAACCTTGCTTCCACCAGTCCCCAGGAAAAGTCTCTAGGAGCCAGGTGATACCCTGAAAAGATAAATGCACAGGCTTGCCAAACACTAGGACCAAGAAGAGGAGCTGCTATGCCCCATCCTCTTCTAGTGGTGCTGGGCGAGCTCTTCAGCTGGCAAAAATCACCCTGACCACCGCCTGCTGTGCATGCCTACACCTGGGGAGGATGACCTTGCAGTTATCCCTAAAGGGTGTGCAGAGGAAGAACAAGCGGAGTTAAATACATCAGCTAGCTGAGCAGTATTTCAGGCAAAGCCTAGTTTGCAGCCTGATTGCCGCACAAGTTGTACCAGCAGCTTTCTATGCACAGAGCACAGAAAAAATAACAGCCCTCTGCGGTCCAATGCAAAAGTGACACCCCATTAGAGAGTCTGGGCTTCAGGGCTCCCAGCAGAAATTAAACCACAACTTTTCTTTGTCCATGCAGAAATAAAAAAGAAACAAACTTTTTTTTTTCTTGGAAGACAAGAGCTTGGGTTAGCAATGATTTTATTGTGCTATTAATATGACCATAAAGAAGAACAACATGTGTTTATAGGCTCTAGTGCTTCATTACTCAGTTGCTGACTTGGTAAAAATCGCCGTGGCATCAGTATAAAGTGCAACATGGAAGAGATCATTGCAGTCATGTTGTAAAATCATCTGGGCAGGTGACCTTTGATCAAAGGCAATTGATAGCTCTGAGGCAGCTGTACAACAACAGTAAAGATAATAGTTGTCCACAGGCCGCCAGAGCCATAGGAGAGCAAATATACACCAGGCTTGGGTGAAGCAGAGGGAGCGCTGAGGGGATTTGGAAAGGTTTGGGAAAGAAAAACAGAAATCTGCCTCTGAAATGCGTCTGCGGAAGATGCCATCCAGTACGGGCAGGGAAGGAGCAGGAAGGAAAAATTACCCCCGTCCGGCTTGTTTCACTTCTCGTCACTCTGCCTCCTTTCGTCAGCCGCCAGGCCCCAGAGTAGCCCGCCTCGCAGTCGACGCTTACCAACAGGCCATAAATAAAATCGCTGGAGCCACTGGCGTCAACATCTTGGCGTTGTTTGGGTCTTCTTGTTTGGCTTTAGAATAACTCCCCTCCTCGGGGTCAGGCAGACGAGGAAGCGAGGACCCCTCGCCACTGTCCGTCGACACCGTCTCGTCGCGCTGCCTTTTTTGCCTGCAAAGCTGCGGATCTGGGGAGCTGCCCGAGAGCACGACTCACGCTCCGTCCGGGGCTCCCGCGCCCCCCCTGGCCGGTCCATGCCCAGACAGGTTACGTGGCGAAACCTGGGCTTTGCCAGAGGCAAGGTCGTGCTGCCCATTTTCTTGAACCTGAGAGACACCGGCCGGGCCGGATTCGGGGTCACCATAACCCTGCTCGCCCCAGCAGCGACTCGACTCTGCTGTGCTAAAGCCCAGCCCCGAGGGCCACATCCTGCCCCAC